GAGAAGCAGGCTCCCGACTGAGCAGGGAGCCCAATCAATCGGGGCTCGATCCCAGGGCCCCGAGACCACGACCTGAGCCAAAGGCAGACGCCTGACTGACTGAGCCACCCAGGTGCCCCGAGGATCTGGGTTTTATTGATCACCTAACTTCTTTGGCCTTCCATTTCCTGCTCTATGAATTAGTAGGGGTTGGATCCGATGATCTTCAGCATTTCACCCAGTTTGCTGGTTGCTGATAAGAAGGTACATTCCTCCAGCAGTGGAAACTCACATCGAAACATGTATAAACCACACGATTCTGGGTATTGCAAGGAAAAAACCCAGTTGCTCTTATTTTCTGGCCTCCCACATCTTGCCTGTGAAGGGCTGAGTGAGGCTTGATGGTTTGGAGAAGGAGGTGCCTCCCTTCTCGGAGGGTACTCCTATTTCATTGTCTTTGACAGCGGAAAGGAATGGTTAATGGAACAGTAGAAGAGGGAGTGAAATATGCTGAAATCCACAGTCTTGTGCATCTTCATTCCTCACAGTTTTTAGCATTGCTTTAGAGCTGTGGGCTTTGTCCTGAGTCAGCTCCGGGCAGGGCTCATTCCTCAGTGTGGCAGGCGTGTGCCTAGGCATGCTCAGCTTGTTGAGGTAGCAGTAAAGCTGATAGGACACTGGTCGCTGCATTGAGCACAGCTGGCTAAATGACCGAAATCATGGCCCCAACTCTTGAGTGTTGTTCCCCTCCCCGTGCCCTGTGGTCCCCACTCACTCACTCTCTGGGTTCAGCGTCCACTGCCAACAGCCCGCTTTGATGCTCAGCGGGGCCCTGCTCCCCTCCTCCAGTGTCATGCGTGCTCCTATCGGCAACCTTCTCCTCCCACCCCACACCCCAGCCCCAAAAGCACCACCGTGTCCTGTGTCCACCCCGGGCCCTGGCTCCAGGACTCCAGCTCCTCAGTGCCCTCACCAGGGGTGAAGCTTAAGACCCGATGAGGCTCTGAGGAGGCACACGAAGTAGGTGGTTTATCTTGCACTGCTCTACCTTAGCTCTTCTAAGCGCTGTCACATAAAGCCCCGGGGCACGGTCTCCCCTTCCTTGTGTACACACACCTCTTAGAAAAATGCCTAATGCTTCGGGATGATGGATTCTGTGAATCAAGCAGCTGCCTAATTGATTTCCAGTGATTTATCCTGCCTTTAGCAGACAATCAAGGACCATGTGGGGTGGGTTTGCTTTGGCTTATGGTTTGAGGATCTGAGGGGTGCCACTGCCCAAGGGAACAGGTCCCAGGAATGTCAAGTCAGAGTGGTAGGAACACAGGTGCAGGGAGGTCAGACTGCTGTCCTGAGGGTGGGAGGCAAGCCAGCCAGGGGAAACCGGAGTCCTACAGGCTTGGGAGCCGGTGCTTCCCAGGGTGGTGGGAGATCCTCAGCGGGAAAGTGGAGTGGTGGGCAACGCGAGCACCTCATTAAGGAGGACTACAAAACCCCAGTGTGGAGCCTTTTCCTCCCAGAGCTAAGTGCTCTGGGAGTTGAGAGTGATTCAGTGTGATGTGATACGGCGGCTCGGAGCAGATAGAGGGTGAACCAACAGGAGGCGGGACCTTTGTCAGACCTCATGGCCTTCTACGCCTTAAAAGGGTGTGTTTTCCTGTAGGGAGATCCTACTGCAATGAGCCCAACGCTACAAAATAGGGAAGCCTGCTGCACCCTTTGGAAGCGCCCTGGCTCTGAGCCTGAGCGGGGGAGGGGGTCCCCCGGAGTTGGCCATACCTAGGCGACGTGGTGGCCCTCAGGACTGTCCTGTGGGACTGCAGCGCTGCCGCAGACGGAGTTCCTTTCCTCCGCTGCGGCTCAGGCGCATGCTGCAGAATGAGAACGAAGAATGGGGACTGCACCGTGAAGAATTGGGTTCTGTGACCCCCATGTGACGGGACACAAAGCCACGTGAAGGATAGATTCGTGCTATAAAAGCAGCCACTGGGAAAATCACTTTTCCTGGAGAAGACACACAGCGGCAGGCAGAGCCAGTGAGCTGGGATTTAAATTAGAAATATGGAGGCAGGGTGGCCCCGGAGCCCGTGATGGGTGCCTGCAGCTGCAGCAGTACTCACGGAGCAGGAGTTAAACCACCCAGGGCTCCTTCAGGTGGAAAAGCCTTTTTATAGTCCTGGATCTGTAGTCAGCCCCCGTCCACGCCACAAACCACAGCCGCTCCGTCAGTAACCAAGGGGGCAGGACACAGGGTGTTTGCTTACAGGAAATGTTTATTTCCAGGCTGCTCTTCACCTCTCCCGTCCCCCGTGCTCTCTAAGGCTGCTGCACGACGTACCCCACATTCAGACCGGGTGTTCTCTGCCCTCGCTCTCGGAGGAAACCACGAGTTAGGGCTGATGGGACAGGAGAGGTCAGCGCGTGGTTCCTCGGAAGTGACAGGTTGGCATCAGCAGGGATTTTCTGAAAGCGATACCGTGGCCCCTGGAAGCAATGCTTGCGAGTAGCACTACAGACGCTCTCAGTTTGGGGAGTGGGTGTTGGGGACCCACAGGGCAATCCCGAGGCAGGAGGCAGGCTCTGCCCTGGGTGAGTAGGATTCCTTTGCCTTAGGGAGCTGGCCTGAAGAGCCAGCAGCGGGGGCCGACCTTCTGCACCTCGCTGTTGAGGCAGCGGAGGGGCAGGATCCGGAAGGCCCTTCGGCTTCCTCGCCTGGGTCCAGCCCGCTCGCAGGAGACTTTACTCGGTATTAAGCTCAAGGGTTCATGGTCCGTTGCCCCGGAGGTCTCCTTGTCCTGTGTGCTTGTGAACAGGTTGAAACCGGGGAGCGAGGGAGGTGAAGGGGCCTTCACACCTCTGCTCGTGCCCCTGCCCGGCAAACCCCGCGTTCCTGGGTGACGGCCTGGGTCCCTGCCCTTCACGCAGCGCACCTCGAGGGCTCAGGCAAGTGCTGCAGCCATCCCCACGGTGACAGAGTGGGAACGCTCAGGACCAGGTGACTGAGGAGAAAGTGTTGTGGGGAGAAGGCTCCCCTAAAGGGCCGTTGAAGCAGAGAGGTTGGAAGTGGGGGTGCCGTTCTGCGCAACGGGAGTGTCACACCGAGAGAACTTGAAGTGGCCCGGACTGTCCAGACCCCGTGGTGGTGGCAGGTGAAGCTGGTAAAGCAAGAACCATCAGAATGGGAGGCTCTGTCCAGAGAGGGCGTTTGGACTTGATTCTGAAGGCTCCGGGGACTCGGGGCTGGGAGGCAGGGACAGGTGTGATCGGGTGTGAATAATTTCTCATGGATGTCGCCGACTGCCATGTGGAAGCGAGGTAGAGAAGAGAGATGGAGAGAGGCTTCCTCATGTGGTCCAGGCAGGGAAGACAAAGGGTTGCTGGGAGGTGCACAGGGGCTCCGGGGGGCCCCCGCCTTTGGCAGCAAGCCTGTGGGTCAGAGAATTTGGTCGGGGAGCTGTCTGGGCAGCAGCCTAGCTTCTGCGACTTAGCGGGGAGATGAGGTGAGGTAGCAGAGGTGGTAGGTTTGACCCCCTCCCCCATGGCAGGCATGACTGTGACAGGAGGCTGGTGAAAGGAAAGGCAGGTGGACGTGGCCACAGGAGGCAGGGGTGAGTGCACAGGCCCCAGGTGGGGAGAAGTGTAAGGAGGAGGGTCTGGCAGCTGTGGATGCTCGGGAGTTTCTGGATGTAAAGCAGGCCTCGGATTTCCCGCTTGGTTGGCACCCTCGAGGGAATGCGTCCTGTGCAAGAAGGGGCGGCTTGGACACTGGGAGAGAGTGAGGCCAGGAGGGGAATGATTGTCCTGTCAACAGGGAAGCTCAGAGACCAGCCCTGGAGAGAGGGGAGTCGTTGAGGCCAGCTCCCTGCTTAGATCTGGGCAGTGTCCTCATCCACAGAGATGCCCGCTCACGGTGAAACGTGATGGCATTTTTTTTTGGCAGTAATACTGAATGATACTAAATGACCAGCAGGACTTGATGAAGGAGAGAGGAGTTGACATGTGGTCTCAGACACCCAGGTGTGAGGACGGACCCACGGGTAGTTGGGTTGGTCTGGAATTGGTGTTTTGCTGAGCGCACAGAGGGGCGTTTTGTGAGGGTGGAAAAGTAAAATCCTGGAACAGGCATTGGGGGTGGCAGCCAGGAGCGAAGGAAGGAGTCTGAGAGGGCACCGTCTCTGCCCCTGGTGCCACCGAGCCCCTGAGCCCCTGGGCTTATAATGCAGGCTGTTGGGGGAGAGGGGCTTGGGGAGCCTGAGGACTCGCCTTCTTCCTTATTTTAATTTTATAATTTCAATAACAAAGAGTAAAATCAGGCATTAATGCGTTTTAACAGCTTTATTGCGATGCAATTAACATACCATAAAATTCACTCATTGAAAATCTACAATCGCTGGTTAGCAGTCTGTTCACAGTCGCGCCACAATAGCTGAACCCATTAGCAGTCACTCTCCCCTGCCCCTGCACTCACTCCCCACCCCCTTCCTGCAGAGCCCCTCCCCCACAGTTACTCCCCCTCTCCCCACCACCCTAGGCAGCCTCTCTTTTTGCTGTCTTTAAAGATTGGCCTATTCTGGGCATTTCATATGCATTCAAACCTGCGCTTTTTGATTCAACCAGTGGCCAACGCTGCAGGTCGGGGGAACTGAGTCTCTGAGGGATAGTCCCCACGTAGATGAGGACAGAGCTAGGATCCAGGCTCCTCTTCATGTTATTTTGAGAAGAGAGGAAGGCCACGTGTAGTATTTTTTAAAGGATTTGATTCAGCACATTCCAGAGCTACTGATACCACAACCCAGATTTTATCAAAATACAAGATTTGCTTTCTTCTTCCTATGCTTGGTTCGAATCTTTTTTGGAGATAAGTGCCTTCCATCTAACCCCATCTTCGTGGCTGCTTTTAAACCTCTTGTCAGGCAGGAAAGCACAGTAGCAGGGAGCATATGCTCCAGGAGCCAACCTGGCCCAGTTTGAACCCCAGCTCTGCTGCTTCCCAACTGTGTGACCTTGGGCAAGTTACCGAACCTCTCTGTGTCCATTTCTTCATCAGTAAAACTGTATAAACATAGTGCCTAGCTGATAGGATTCTTGTGAGGATTAAATGAGTCTATATATCTAAAATTATGGAAAACTGACCAATAATAAGTGCCATGGGCATTCGCTGTTAATATTATCTGAGAATCTTAATTGTTAATTCCTACTGGCCCTTACTTTCCATTGAGCCTCAAAGAAGGCTGAGGGTGGTGGTTAAGAAACAATGCCCTTGTCAGGAAATATGGGTACATGTCGTTTTCCTGCTTTGGTCACTGATTCATGCCAGGCTGAATTAGGGAAGATGTAGGATTACGAAGTCTACTAACAGAAGTCCAGTTTCTCATTGTCAGGACAAGATGATTTTGGAAGCTGGCAAGTGTGTTGACCTAAGTGAGTCTTGTCTTCACATCCTACCTTTCCTGTTCTGTCTGCCCCGGTTCTGCCGGGTTCCTGTCCTTTGGCCTCAACTCCAACAGCCCTACGCGGCTGATCCTTTCCTTCCCCTGTACCTGCCGTTTCTAAACACAGAATGCTTGAAGACCAAAGAAAACAGTGTACATAAGAGTGCTGAGAATCCAGTGTATTTTGTCTGCTCGACACAATTAATAGCCTCTGTCAAGAAAAAGTTTTCTTTTCTTGAATTACCTACAGCACTTAGCACTGGGTATTCAATAATGGTCACACTAAATTGAATATGGAGAAAAATCTGGTTTGCTTACTTAGAAATTTGTTCTTAAGTGTGTAGGCATTTTTCTTATGCCACAGATTTTGTTGGTTTACTAAACAAAACCCTTTTTACATGGCTGTTGTAAGGGTCACCTTCAACCCTGCCTCGTCCAAATGTACAATATAAAGTAATAAAGGGCAGGCCCAGTTGTGAGGCATAACTGAGGAATGGCTGTGTGCAGTGGTCTTCAAGGATGACAGCGGAGGGCACACCTCCCCCCTGGAGGAGGACCATCATCCTGGACAATTTGAACGGTGGTTACAGTGACTCTGTGTTGTATTTTCAACAAAGTAAGTTGCTGCTTCACTTTTGAAGCCAGCTCTGAAGGTACTGAAAGGGGCTGCCCTTCAGAATGCTTAATGCAGTGAAACTTTTTTTTTTTTTAAGATTTTTTTATTTATTCATTTGAGACACAGAGATACAGAAAGAGAGAGAGAGCATGAGCAGGGAGAGAGGCAGAGGGAGAGGGAGAAGCAGGCTCCCTGCTGAGCAGGGAGCCCAATGCGGGGCTCGATCCCAGGATGCTGGGATCATGACCTGAGCCGAAGGCAGACGCTTAACCATCTGAGCCACCCAGGCGCCCCAATGCAGTGAAACTTTTAAATTTAAACTTGGGGAGGGCAGAGAAAGTACTGCATAGCTCATTCACTAGGTCCTTAATACCCAGTGTGTGCCCAGAACCCAATTCCAAGTTCCTTGAAGGGCAGGTAAAATAAATAAATAAATAAATAAAGCCCTCAAAATTCCTTGAGCCCAATGAGCTTACACTTTGTAGCAATGAAGCAATACACAAAACCCAATGATGGACTGTATTAGTGCATATGTTGTAAGAGCTTAATTGTGAGGAATTCCAAGTGAGATCAAGAGTTGCCAGGAAAGCCTTCAGAGAAGAGGGCAGACTTGAGCTGAGCCTGGACAGTGGTGTTTCGATGAGCACAGAGGGTGGGCTTTCCTGCTGCGGGCATTGGGCTGAGTGAGCAGGAGCGTGGAGCTAGTGATGGGCATGGCAGTCATGATGCTGAAGTCACGGGCCCACCTGGAGGGAAGACACATTTTCAGATTCCTTCTGACGCAGCTCCTGTGACCTTGGGCTCCAAACTGATGCTCCTCTAACCCTATCAGCCTCTGTCAACCAGAAGATTCTTTGAGGCTCAGCGCATTCCTAGGGACACCACTGGAGCCAGCCCACCCAGCGGGGTTGAGAGTAGGCTGTGCGGGATCCAAAGCGTTTGTGGCCAAATCTTGTTTTCCTTGTCCAGCTAGGGTCCAGCCCCGTGAGTTCGACTTACTGGTGGACTCCATCTCCCTCTGCCATGGCTCTCTGCTTGCTTTTTCCTCTTCACAGAGCACTCTGTCCTCTTACGTGTTTCTGCAGGTTCCCAAAGGAACTGACCAGAATTGGGCTCAGAAGCTCTATGATCGGCACTCTGGCAGCCAACACTTCCAGAAACCCCGCATGTCCAACACGGCCTTCATTGTCGTCCACTTTGCTGATAAGGTGAGTCTCTCCGTGGGCTTGGGTGCTCTGTGAGCCCCACCCTACAGAGATTCAGGGCTAAGAGGGAGTGGTCTCTCTTGAATTCAAGTGGCCTGAAAGTCTCTTAGGGTCTTTGTCTACCCTCTCTTTCCCTCCCACATGCCCTCTGTGATACATCAAACTGTCACTACGTTGGCAGAGCCCCAGGTGGTGGGAAGGGGGGCTACAGCTCCCCAATCATGTGCTCGACAAATATTTATTGAGGGTCTCCTGGGAGGACAGGAGCACGTAAAACAGTTGTGAGTCTACCCCGGAGAGAGAAAACAAGCATGAGAACAGGATGGCGCTCTTCTTTGGGTGACTCCTTTCCTGGGACCTGGTGAACACAGAATTTTCCTGCATGGATTTCTCTTCTGTTTGCCTTAGCCCATGCTTTCCAGATTTTAATCTGCACATAAATCACCTGGGGTCTCCTTAAAATGCAGACTCCAGGGGCACCTGGGTGGCTCAGTCCGTTAAGCATCTGACTCTTGCTTTCAGCTCAGGTCATGATCTCAGGGCTGTGAGATCAAGCCCCGAGTCTGGCTCCGTCCTCAGTGTGGAGTCTGAGATTTTTCTCTCTCCCTCTCCCTATGCACACAAGCTCACGTGCGCACTCTCTCAAATTAAAATCTTCAAAAACAAAATTTGATAGCCTTTTCAGCACCCAAAGGAGGCCTTAGGTCATCTTACGGGAACCCCTTTTTTAAAATAATGTTTTTCCACAAAATGAATACTCAATTTCCTCTATATAAATCCTGATCACATCTTGGGTTTGCGTTCTAAATGGGGAATCTGTGGGTTTCCCAGCTACTCACCACTCGTCAGAAAACACTGTATGGATGAGATGAAAGGACTCAGGTGCTCAGGTAGCTGTGGAAGGCGCCTGGGCAGGTTGAAGCACTTGACTCCTGTTTTTGTTTCCCTCTGGGGCCCCAGGTGGAGTACCTTTCAGATGGTTTTCTGGAGAAAAACAGAGACACGGTGTATGAAGAGCAGATCAACATCCTGAAGGCCAGCAAGGTAAAGGGCATCAGGGGTGGGGTGTTAGAGCACAAACGTCCACAGCAGGACCCAGCAGCCCTGGGTGTGGGTGGCGTCGGTCCCACCCCGGAGCGTGGGGGAAGGCAGAGATGCCAGGCAGGGCGAATGTGAAGGGGCTTGTACGTTATTTCCATCTGAAAACATTTGAGGATGGCCCCGTGGGGGAAAGAAAGCAGGAGATGGTGAAGGACAGGGGCAACTGGGGAAGATACCAGTTAATAGAATGACATTGTGAGGGGTGGGGGCACGAGAAAGGTGACCGTCAGGAGTGGGGACAGCAGTGAGTGTAGCAAGGAAAACGTTACTGGCAGTCATTTGTCGTCCTCTCTTACCTGCAGGTGGTAGGATTACTTGGATGCCCTCAAATCCTGGCATCTGTACATTTCATTTCTGTGTAGCACCTACAGAACCTCCCTATAAGCAAAACGTTCAGTGGAACAGAGGGTAGGATTTGAGGGACACTTAATAGTGTCCAAAATAGATTTATCTCCAGAATTTATTTCCTTCTCATGAGCATAATAGAAAGATTGTGTCCATTCTACAGGCAGAGGAAACAAGGCACCAATTCAGTAAACAAACAGTAAGCGCCTGTGTTGTGGGCATTGGCCCAGACACAGCCAGCAGCAGGCAAAGGTCGGTAAGACCCCTTCTGCCCTGTAGGCGCTTACAGCCTAGTGGGCTGTCCGTGGCAGGTCTTCACACGGTTGCTGGAATGAGGGGAGGCCTGGGGAGAGGGCCCGGTTGGGGGGGTTGGGTCTGGGCACCATGGTTCCCGAGGGCCGACACACCGATGCTCGTGCTTCTGCCGGCGGCAGCCCTTCCAAGAAAACCCCGAAAGGGACTCTCCGGGATTTGCGAGGCTTTCTCCCAGACCTCCTGCTCCCGAACTGGCTGCAGGGGCCTGATAACACTAGAAATTGCAGATTGATGGCTCTTGGTGATAAGCTTCAGATGAATGTAATAGGGCAAGATGCCGGAATGGAGAAAATACACCCGGCACAATGGACCGAAGGACAGAAGGGCGAGTACAGCCCGTTAAATCCCATGGCCCCAGGCGATGGGTTTAGGGCGGCTTTGAGTCAGTACCAGCATATGGGCGGCTCAGGGTCCTCTCAGGAGATCTGCAACACCTGGGAATGAGGCGCCCTGGAGGGAAATCTGGGTAAATGTGAGTATCACTTTGGGATTCAGCACAAGGTTAACCCCTCAGCTTGCCAAGTCTGTGGCACTGTCATTCATGGTGGGTCATAGGACTTTTTGCATTCTTCAAAAGGGGAGGTGGGGAGAGAGGAAGTGGATGGCCGAGCTCTTGGAGCACATTGCCTCGTTGTTTCTTAGATGCTTAGAGCCTTGTGGCCTCCTCTGTGAGTGACACAGTGGCCTCAGAGGCTGAGAAACTTCACTGTCTTGTTCTAAGTTCCTCTTTTCAGGTAAGAGCACAAGGGAGGGGTGGGTGAGGGAGAGAGTGTCTGGTTCTGCCGGTGTATTGATTTTTGTTTTGAGTGTCTCTCAGGAATCTTAAAAAGTAAAAGAGGAATCTCTCCAGCGGATTAGTAACTGACATTTTTTCCCCTTTATTGGGTATTTGTGTGTTATGTAGTGGTAATGAATACATATAGTTAACCTCCTGGATCTTACAGTCCCGTGGATTTTGGTAATGCTGTGAAGGTCAAGAAGGTAGTATGGAGAAAAAAAAAAAGAATTTGTTGGGAGTCCCCAAGGCCACCTCCAAATTCAATTATTTGCTAAGACGAGTCCAAGACCTCTGAGCAGATAGTTACACTTGAGGCTGTGACTTATTAGACCAAAAGGCTACAAAGCAGCCAACAAAAGGAACAGTGCGTGGGGTGAAGTCCAGGGGAAACCAGGCCCACGCTCCCAGGAGGGGAGCCACTGGGAAAGGCGCGGCACCCCTGTGCTTCATTCCCACAGCAGGGTGTTGTCATGTGAAGTATCGGCCAGGGCAGCTTGTCTGAGCCAAGGCTCAGAGCTTTTATGGGGAGTCAGTTACACAGGCACCCTTTGCCTAGCATGTACCAAAATTCCAGACTCTCAGAAGGAAGGCAGGTGTTCAGCGTAAACCATATTGTTTGCATAAACCATTCGGACCCAGTGAACCATTCTTACCAGAGTCTGGTGAAAACCCTCCCCAAATCCAAGTTCCCAGGCCCCAGCCAAGGCCTTTCCAGGAGTAGCAGTCTCAAGCTTGCTGTGTTAGCTCTTTTCTGTACAGGGGTATCATTTTAGGTTGGAGGTCCTGGGTTTTTATTAGACATGAATACAGACTCATCAATTTAAATAGCTTTGAAAGCATTCTCTGCCATTCCTTGACCCACCTTTTCATCAGGTACCATTCTGCATACGCAAGCATATTGGTACATCTTTGTAAGATTTGAAATGAATCACATTATACATAGTTCTCTCTGACTTTTCACTTAGATCTTTGCTGTCTTTCCACACGACTATGTATCTCTTCTCTTTTTTAAACAGTTGATATTTTGCTAATTGAAATAAGGCCGTAATGAATGCCCTTTGCATAGATCTTCGCTTGTGCAATTACATCAGTCAGGTAAATTTTTACAAGTGAAGTGGATGGTTCAAAGAGTATGCACATTAAAAGTCTGTAGATATTCCTAAATTGGGACTGTAAGATAGGTCTGGGATCTACTCTTAAAAGATAACGGTCCTTCTCTTCCCTACCCACCTGCCGCACACTAGCTTTCCCCTTTACCAGCTGATCTTTTTAAGAACCAGTGACCTTCTTGCCAACCTGCAGTCCCATCCCAGCCTCTCACAGCATTCAGAGATGAACCAGGAGGGGCCTCCAGGTCTACCAGACCCTAGTAGGAGGATGGCTGAGAACTCTCCACCCTGAGCCCATTGCAGACAATCCCAGAAGGTAAAAAGCAAAGATCGAAACCAGGTCCCTGTAAACCCGCAGACGGACCCGACGCAGACTGCAGCTATAAATCAAAGAGTGGTTCTCACTGTGCTTTAAATCCTTCGGACAGGTGGACTTGTCTGGCAGCACCTGTCATGGTAGCGGTTTTGAAGCTCATTGTTCACTGAGCTCGTATCATCTGTAGAACTTTGTTTTTACAGCAGTCCTATGAGGTTTATGTTTCCAACTCCATATTGGAGTGTAAAATAAAGACCTAGAAAGATGCAAGGCCCTGGGGCATGGAGTTAGTGCCCATTTCTTGTGGTGGTTTTCATCTCCCTGAGCATAGATAAATCTCAAATCCTGTATGTAAATTCATAATTTTACTTAAAGCATTTTTATTTTATGGGACACCTATTAGCTTTTCTCTTTTGTGTGACACCCCTGATAAGAAATTAAGAAATCATTGTGAATAATTAAGCGGTATGGGATGGAAGACTCCCATGTAGCCTACCAGCCAAAGGCTCCCACCAAGAGCAGTGAAATAAAACAGTGTTAATGAGAATGTAATTAGGGGCGCCTGGGTGGCTCAGTTGGTTAAGCGACTGCCTTCGGCTCAGGTCATGATCCTGGAGTCCCGGGATCGAGTCCCACATCGGGCTCCCTGCTTGGCAGGGAGTCTGCTTCTCCCTCTGACCCTCCTCCCTCTCATGCTCTCTGTCTCTCATTCTCTCTCTCTCTCAAATAAATAAATAAAATCTTTAAAAAAAAAAAATGAGAATGTAATTAGGAAAGCCAGTTATGCTAAGAGGTTATCACGTAGCTAATTGCTTTCTCCGCTATTGGAGAGCTATAAATGGAGACTTAGGACATGCCTCTTTAAAACACGACTTTAAGTCCTTAACAGACTGATTTGTTTTAGGTACTAAAAGTGGAGGTTTCTCCTTCTCAGTGTTTATTATAAAAACAATATTTTACCCAAAAAAAGAATCCCGAAAGGAGCACATATTTAAGATTTCCTATGCCAGGGCAGCCCTGCGTGTAGGTCAGAGTGACAAGCAATGGATGTGGAGTTTGTCAGTAAGCATTGGGCAGCCAGGACCATCCTGGGTGGTGGTTCCCAGGCAGGCAGTCCTGAGGCTGGCTCTCCACTCATCCCAGCAGAAGGGATCTCAAGACCAATCTGGTACAGAGGTCGAGGAGACCGTATTGGCCCAAGGCCACCTACCCTGGGCCATAGCAGTCCCTGAGGTCCGAGAGTCACAGTGGCGTACCTTAGACAAGGCCCAGATGCGTGTGCTCTGGGTCTCCTTCCTCCGACTTCGGCTTGACCTCAACTCCTCGAGGAATGACACTGTATGTGTGTCTGTTGTTTACGCACTCGTGTGGTCTTTGTGGGTCACAGACACATTCCACTTTGAGCAAATACATTTGCTTTTTTAAAACGTATTTTTTTCCATTTCGTGTTTTCATTTTCTATGGGTAAATACCCAGTAGTGGAATTACTACAGCATGTGGTAATTTTATTTTTAATTTTTTGAGGAACCTCCATGCTGTTTTCCACAGTGGCTGCACCAGTTTGCATTTCTACCAACAGTACGTGAGGGTTCGCTTTTGTCCTCTTCCTCGCCGATACTTGTTATTTCTTGGGTTTTTTAGTTTAGCCATTCTCACAGGTGTAAGATGATACCTCATTGTGGTTTTGATTTGCAGTTCCCTGACGATTGGTGATATTGAGCATCTTTTCATGTGTCCATTTACCATTTGTGTGTCTTTTTTGGAAAACTGGGCCCTCTGAATCTTTAAATTTTTTTTTTTTTTAAGATTTTATTCTTTATTTGACAGAGAGCACAAGTAGGCAGAGAGGCAGGGAGAGGGAGAAGCAGACTCTCCACTGAGCAGGGAGCCTGACGTGGGGCTCGATCCCAGAACCCTGGGATCATGACCTGAGCCGAAGGCAGCCGCTTAACCGACTGAGCCACCCAGGCGCCCCTCTTTAAATTTTTTAAACCTGGTTATTTTTGATGTTGGGTTCCCATATCACTTGCAAATAGCTTCTCTCTTCAGTGGATGGGTGAGGGGAGGGATGAAATAAAGG